TAATTTTTCTTCTCTTTGTGATCTATCTTTTGAATAATGATTCAGATATGTGATGTGAAATGATTGAAATAAAAGAGGAACGAATCTATTTGTTAATTATAGATATTAATCCGTGTTTCTTTATTTCTTTTCAGAATTAAAAAGCAGAATTCCAGTACATTTCTGAAAAACCATATGATGCAAAGGGAAGATCAAGGTGCCTCTTTCGTCATTCTTCAAGAGATTGACGATAAAACTATTCTTATTCAAAAGCTACCCGTGTACCACTGTGATTCGTGTGATGAAAACTTTGATTCAAAAACCAATTTGGTAATGCATAGAACGGAACGATCGATACTTAAAACCCGAGAAGTGTTGCGTCAAGCAAAACAGAAACACAAATGTGATATATGCGGACAAACGTTCTCGAGAAAATTACAGTTGTTTAAGCATCGTCGGCTGCAGTGTAGATATCCCTTAGACGTCCAGAAACAGGAGCGAAAAGAGATAGAAATCAGAAAAAGTAGGAGAAAAGTAAAGACAAGCCGTGAGAAAAGTGAGGAATCGTGTCCCGTTAAATGTGATCAGTGTCACAAGGTTTTCAAGAAGAAAAGATACTTAAATGTACACAAAACGTTGCACGGCGCGCCACACATTTGTCACGTGTGTGGTGCGAAGCTCACGTCGGAGTATTATCTGAAGATTCACGTCAGGCGACACAATAAAGAGTTCACGGAGTTTTGCAAGATCTGTAACAAAGGCTTCTATTTGAAGGCGACCTTAAGGACTCACATGAGCGTGCACACGAACGAGAAACCATGTACTTGCGAAATCTGTCATAAGACCTTCGGCAATCCAGTCTATCTGCGAAGTCACATGAATATCCATCGAGAACCCGAGACGAGGAAGAAGTACAAATGCGAGATATGCAGCTTCGAAACGTTTTACAGCTATTGCTACAAAGAGCACGTGTGGACCCATACGGGCGAGAACCAAGTAACATGTGAAGTATGTGGCAAGCTAATCAGACGACAGTACATGAAGACTCATATGAGAATACACACTGGTGAGAAACCGGAAATTTGTGAATTTTGTGGTAAAGCGTTCAGCGCCAGAAAGTATCTGATTAAACATCGGCGAACTCATACTGGTGAAAAGCCCTACAAGTGTAATATCTGCGAAAAATGTTTTACCCAGCGTGGCACGCTTAGTGCACATCTTCGGAGACATGTAAATCACGAATGAAAGTGTTTTTCTGTTTTATCTTTTTTTCCTCTAGATTAAAATGCTTTTCATACTGATTCATAGTTACATAGCGTTATTTTAAATAGCATTGATTGATAATAGCATAGCTTCCAAAAAATTTTTTATCTGACCCTGAATAAGATTAAGCGTTATGTGATGTAAATTTCTGGATATTAAAACAAATAAAAAATAAATCTGACTGTTAAATTTATTCAATATAATTTCAGAGTACCTATTTATAGTTCTCTCACTTGAATTTAAATAGTTATATTTATATTATTTATGCTCTTTTATATATATAAAATTGTATTGTATATATAATTGATTTTTTGCATGCTTTTTCACAAACTTTACATCTTGTTATCCTTAATTCCGAATATGATATACAAATTTGATAGTCAGATTTATTTTGAACATCCTAAAATTTACATGAAACATTTAGATCCGTTTCTGGGATTAGATAAAAAAATATTTTTGTACCTATGTAAGTATGTATCTATGAAATTAATGTAATTTGTTAATATGCGTTAATACTTATTTATATATTATACTAATTGAATACAATTGTTATTATTTTAAAGGCCAAAATTCCAAATTCGTTACTTTCAATATTTGCATCATCATTACAACAATTTTTTTTATGCATAGTTAATGTGATATTAATAATAACATGAAGTTATGTCAAGAAAAACAATTGATTGAAAATATTAATTTGCAGTAGCTTGCAGATTTAAATAAGTGGCAATATATAAAAAGATAATTTCAGAAACCATTAAATGTTATAAAACTTTATTTAATAATATGCTTCTTTTTTCTCACCTATTAATTTGCTATATATAATTAAATCTATATGTTGTTATTATTAATTAATACATCATTGTGTGCGATTAAAAAATATTTTTGTGCATAACTAAAATATTGAAATCAAATAAATTTATTTCTTTAATGTGATATTATGTATACTGTACTGTATATTATATATACAATACAATAAATTTAAATGTTTTTCTATAATTATTTATGATTCTGCTTTTACTCATTTTAGGATTAATTCAGATAATATAATAAATTATGTCAAATAAAATAGAAGAGTGAAAAATTTATACTTTGATAATAAAATTTCAAATACTAGCAAAATTAATTGATTTTAAAAGTAAAATAATTAGGTGAAACATTAATTATATAAAATCAAATACATAAAATATTAGAAGTTAAAATATTATTTATAATTTACATTTTGAAAACATAATATGAACAATTTTTGAAAAGGTGAGTAAGAAAAGTATAATATAATTCTTGTTACGAACAAGAATTGTATATTACTTAGTCTGATTGAACAAATTATACTTTTAGAAAGAAGAATTATAGATTATATCTTGTAAAGAACGTAGTTCATAAAAGTATAAAAAAAGATTTCTAATCTTTTATTAATGAATATTTATTTCAATTTTTAATATAATTAACTTTAAATGTGTGACATATATAATTAAAAGATTAAACCTTTCTGAAACAGTTCAAAGATTATGTTATCTAATTTTCAACAAATCAATTAGAGCAGTAACGATCAAACTGGCAGACATGATCGACATAATCAGTATAATATGAAAGTGCTTGCTATAAAACTTATCAAGAGTGTGAAAAAGCTTAGCTCAAGTAAATTTATTTTGAATTGAATTCTAATAAATATTTATTCTCTAAGAATTCTCCTTCGCTTCCTCGCGCTGTTGACAGATATTATTTATTACAGGTGTGACGAGGTCGAGATAGAAGATCCAGTCGAGCTCAAAGATATAGAGTTAGTGCGATATCAAGACGAAGTATCTACCGTGGAAGAGTATCACATCGATGATCAAGAAATGATTACGGAAACGATTGAGTATAGAACTGAAGATTTGAACGACAAAGTGGAGTCTATGACGGAGATACATGTTATAAAACGAGTTTCCGAACACGATTCAGGTCGCAAACGTGCGACGATTTATGAATGTGAAATTTGTGGGAAACAAATGTTCAAGAAGCTGCAATTTTTGAAGCATAGACAGGATCACGAGAGGAATCCGAAGATTGACAATCGTTGCGAAGAATGCGATAAAGTCTTCGATAATGAAGACAAGTTGCGAAAACATATGATAAAAGTGCATCAGAAGGAGAAGCCCTTTCAATGCGTTCTGTGCGGCAAGTGTTTTAAGACTGAGGAATTCCTGAAGACTCACTTGAAGCAGCACAACAAACGTTTCATCTGTGACATATGCGGCGTGTCAAAGGTCTCCGGGTACGATTTGCGCTTACATAAAAAGAAGCATAATCAGGAGTACGTGATTTATTGCAAGGTCTGCAGCAAGGGCTTTTACACGAATCAGACATTGGAGCGGCACTTGCTCACGCACACCGGTGAGAAGCCTTTTGTGTGTAAAGTATGTAACACCGCGTATGCAAGCGCGGCGTATCTCAACATGCACATGAGGTCTCACGGCGAGAGAGAGAAGCACAAGTGCAATATCTGCGATTTCGAGAGCTACTGGAAGGCCGCCCTGAAGGTGCATCTCAAGATACACACCGGCGAGAATCAGATCACATGCGAGGTGTGCGGAAAGTCCGTGAGCAGCAAGACGTATTTGCAAATTCACATGCGTATACACTCGGGTGAGAAACCGCACATTTGCGAGATATGCGGCAAGGCGTTCAGCGTACGAAAGTATCTGATTGTACATTTGCGAACGCATACTGGCGAAAGACCTTACGAGTGTAAAGTGTGCCAGAAAAGATTTACGCAACAGGGCTCACTGAATTCTCATATGAAGTCTCATAATGAGAGCAAATAAACGAGACACTCTTCAAGGCCTGTATACTCGATATTTGCCATTCACATAGAGTTAAATATGGTCCTTCAATTCTTTATTCTGAATTATTTGCGAATTATGAGCGTACTGTGAATATAATATAAGTCATATACCGCTCTATAATCATTACATAGAGTTTTATAATTAAATGAAGTTTGTTTGGTGGAAACAAAATGTATGACATCATGTGAAATAGCATGTGTGAATGAAGTTAAATAAAATGCATATGAAAATTGCATTTTATTTGGCAAATTATTTTTCATAAAAGCGTAAGACTGATGATAATCATAAAAAGTTAAAAAGGAAGAACATAACAGATCTAGCCTTAAAAATTCAAGATTTATTCTAGAGATTATTATTTTATAAAACATGCTTTAAATTGATTTAAGTTATTTAAATATATATTGTGCAATCACATATCTTTTTAAAGCTTTTAGAATTTTATTCATGTTTTATTTAAAGATATAAATTTAATATGAAAACAACATTTTTTAAACAGAATAACGTATTATTTAGTTATCTAACCGAATCATGAAAAATAATAATATTTTAATCTTGTGTAAAGTTAAATTTATTGTGACAACTTAATAATACTCTTTATTTTGAGATTTCAAGTTTATTTGAAATTTTAATTCGTAAAATCATAATTATTTTATACCTGAGCAGCATAATATATTTATAAATATATGTTAAGTCATCAATTATTATCAAATCTATAACACTGTAAATATATTACATATATTATCTTCTATATATATGTCTTGTTATAATCAAAAATAAAAAATATAAATGTGTCATACATGTGCTTTGATAGCTGTAAATTAATTTTATCTATTTTACAATTTATTAAAATTTTATGTAAAATATACTAATAGTGGAGACTTTCTATATAAATAAATATGACAAGCGGATGATGGAACAACCGCCAATATGAAAATGTCATCTGGATTACAAATATTACAATAAAGATTTACTACAAATTTTCGAAAGGTATGCATTATTTTGTAATTCGTGATTGAGTTTAATTCTTGGTATACTTATTAATATTGTTACATATTTTATCTGTGCTATTTTTTTAAGTGAAGGAAGATACGAAATAATGTTTAATATTATATGAAGAATAGCAAAAATTTGATTGTATTACCATTCTGTTTAATTATAAATCATCTTGAGAGAATAAATTTAATTGTACAGCAATTATTTATTATTAATTACATGTACATGATTAAAAAAGTAATAGATATACGTATTTTTTCAACATTTTTTTATTTGTATGTACGTATAATTTTTTCTTCGATATTTGATAATCTAAAAAGTTGTATTAACACACAATATTTGACAAAAAGGGATTAGATATAAAGGAACATAAGTGAGAAATTTATCTAAATACTCTCTATAACAATCGATTTAAATTGGATTTAATATTATTATATGTGTATAGTCATTATTTCATTTTCTTTTCAGAAATGAAAAACCAGCAGAGACGTGTGTAAAAAATGAACAATCTGTAGACGAATCTACAGATTCTACATCGGTTTCAATTTTCATTAAAGAAGAAAATGTAAAACATAAAGATTACAATGTGCAATACGAAGCTATAAGTTCGAGATGTAATCTTTCCAAAAACTCACCAACAAAAAATGAACTTGAAGAAGTTACGAACGGAGAAATTATGATTCGTCAGAATCATTCAGGCATGAAAAAACAATCTACCAGTCAAACATTTTACGAATGTGATATATGTACGAAGCTGTTCAGATCGAAGAACTTGTTCGAAGGCCATTTAGTGGCGCACAGCGACGCTCGACCCTATCAATGCGATGTTTGTGGCAAGTCCTTCAAGAGAACCAATACCTTAGCAGTACACAAGCGAATCCACACTCACGAGAAAAACTTTGTTTGCGATGTGTGCGGTCGCGCGTTTGTACAGGCTTCTCAGCTAGCTACACATCACAGGCGTCACTTTGAAAAGTACACAAGGCACTGTGAGATCTGCAACAAGGGCTTCTTCACGAATGCCGAGTTGCATGGGCACATGAACGTGAAGCACGGCGCCAAGGAGCACGTGTGTACCGCTTGTAACAAGTCGTTTCCCAACAATCATACCCTGGTGCGTCACTTGAAGATCCACGATCCGAACTTCAAACCCATCAAGCATCAATGTGAGTTTTGCGGCAAGACGTTTGCCTACAAGAATTCGTTGGTGGTTCACGTCAAGTCACACACCGGCGAGAATAAGTACGACTGTCACCTGTGCGGCAAGTCCGTCTCATCCAAGGGATCTCTTCAGGATCATTTGCGTCTGCATGGCGGGGAGAAGTCTCTAGTCTGCGACGTTTGCGGTAAGGCCTTTCACAAGAGAACGACGTTGGTCGTGCACAAGAGGACTCACACCGGCGAGAAACCATATTCATGCGACACCTGTGGAAAATCTTTCACGCAACATTCTACTCTGGTTATACATAAGCGATATCACACTGGCCAGAGACCGTATCAGTGTAGTTATTGCAGCAAGTCTTTTGTATCCAGAGGATTACTTAACGCACACAATAAAATACACGTGGTTAATGTGATGGTGATGCAGCCCGCATAATTAATATGACTTGGATGTTTATTTGTATTACACTCAATTGCATCTTGTGTTCAAAATATTGTGCAGTGATACTATTAAACTTATGGATCCAAGCATCGTGACAGAACAAAATTGCTAGTTGAACACTGCCATTTTATACTTTGACATTGTACATTTACAGTGCTATACCACTAAATATTTTCATCTGAATCAATACTTAATGCGATAATCATAATATTGACGTTATAACTGATATTTTTTGTTAGATTTATGATTTAATTTTTAAATATTGAAGAATTGAAACATTGATCTCTCTTTTTTTATTATTATTATTATTATTATTATTATTATTATTATTACAATATTATGAATGAATGACTTAAGCTTTTATATTAAATGATACATATAACTAAAAACTTTTTTTTATAATTCTGATATGAATGTTTCTATTTTTATTTTTGAAGAATGATGTGTAACGTATGTGTAAATTATCGTCGAAAGTTAATATATTTATCTAAAAAATGAATGTACAAAATTGTACATTAAATGATAGAATAACAAGTAAAAAAGTAAGATATGTATAATACTGATTATTTTTATGTAGATTGCAATCTTTGTATTAGTTGGATATTCTTGCATTATGTATTATTTTAATAAAAATACTACTCAAAATTATGACTATCAAAAAATATCTTATCATGTTTTTTCATGGCTCAAGTATTTCCATTTATATATGTATATATGAAATATGATAAAATATTTCTGAATATTTTTTAATCAAATTATCCAAATACATACATTGTGATGAAGCTGCAAGTTCTACAAATTTACTTACAGGAGTAGAAATAATTTGCTAAACAACGAGAGCGGACAATGAAAGATCGTTGCAACGTAACAAGGATATTCGATACTGATATCCCCCTGAATTTTTCCATTTCAGGTACAGCCAACTACCGTTTTCCGAAGACTATTACCCGGTGTTCTCTAAACTCGATCTGATGAAGAAGAACGGAGAACCCACCAAGTCCCCGTCAAAGTGCTCGGAACCGACGGCAGATACGACCGATGAGACAGCAGCCTCAACGAATCCCGAACAAGATGCCATAAAGCAAGAGGTAAATGATGAGGATGATGAGGAAGATCATCCTTTGGTGTATCACTGCTCGGTTTGTGGTGTCTTCTTTGCCTCGCAATCCTTGTTGACCAATCATGAGATCGAGCACAAAGGTAAGCGGAAGAACACGTGTGCCCAATGTGGCCGAGTCTTCAGAACCGGTATCAGTCTTCGCAAACACATGAAGGCACATGCGGTACGTAAAAGCAGTCGTAAAGGCAATTCTTCCGGGGTGTCCGGCCGTACGGCGTCATTGAAGAAAGTGAAAAAGGAGAAGCCCGAAGTGGAATTTCTTTGCAAGACATGTAACAAGGTCTTCCGGCACAAGAGCAATTATCAGAAGCATTTGTTGCGCCACACGGTAGGCGATCTCCCCTGCAAGCATTGCTCCAAGAAGTTCCGGTTGTTTCGCGACCTAACGAGACATGAGAAGACGCATTTTCTACCGAGCTACACGTGCAAAGAGTGTGATTATGAAACTACCGTTCTAGCTGCTCTGAGCATCCACATGACGCGACACATGGACAAGGCAGACTTACCGTTCAAGTGCAACGAGTGCGACAAGCGTTTCCGGAAGAAGCTCGATCTTCAGGAGCACTATAACATTCACTCGGGCGAGAAGCCATTCGTCTGTCAGCTCTGCAACAACGCTTTCTATTTGAGACGACAACTCTCCGCGCATTGCAGACGCAACCATCCCGAGCTGAAGGCCAACAAAGTGACCAGCACCGCCTGTGACATTTGCGGTCGTGTACTGGCTACGAAAAGATCACTTTTCCGTCACAAGGAAAGTCACAATCCGACGAAACTGTACCTCTGTGACTACTGTGGAAAGAGTCTTAGTAGTGCTGAACATCTGAAGAAGCACAGGCGGATCCACACCGGGGAGAAACCATACGTCTGTGATATCTGCGGAAAGGGTTTCACCGATTCCGAAAATCTGAGAATGCACAGGAGGGTGCACACGGGGGAGAAACCGTATAAATGCGATCAATGCCCGAAGGCGTTCTCGCAGAGGTCAACGTTGACGATTCACAAACGCGGACACACCGGGGAACGACCTTACGTTTGCCAAATTTGCCATCGTGGATTCTCTTGCCAGGGCAACTTGACGGCACACCAGAAGTCTACATGTGTTTAAGAACTTTGACCTTGAACGAGAGAATTTGTTCTGTGAATGGCTTAAAATTTCTCGTTGTCGACATATGACGATTTAAGAACAAGATTTTACGTTGACGATCACATTTAATGACGATAGTGCGATTAGTACGTGCTTACGCGTTGTTACCTTATGTATCGTGACAGCGGGACAGAAACTGAAAGAGAGATCTTTTGAATTATAGATTATATATCTATACGCGTTGATGTTGACGAAGTGCGTCATATTCGCGAGATTGATACCGATACTTCCCGATAAATCTCTATCTGATATCTTTTGTACACTCGTAATATTTGCGTAAACCGTGCGGCGCTCAAAAGACAAGATTATGCACGATATTTATCTGTTTAGTTCTTCCACGAATTATACTTTACATGAGTTATACGACTATACGTTTGTATTATCGTGCTCAAAGTGTTCCGTTACGAATATTGTTGTTCTATTTTTTTTCAGTGTAAATAAGGATAACTTGTAAGCCGAAGTTGTATGCCAATGTTGTTGAATGAGAATTCATTTCCTCTCTCTTTATATTTTTCTTCTTTTTCAGTTTCTTTTTTTTTTTACAGGCGAGACTTCAGCTTTACTCGTACGAATGAAGATAAATGCATCGACAAATTTATGTTATATTATTAACGATATTCGTTATTATATGTTTAATAAAATAACACGTACATCAAAAGTGTTTGTGATTATAAAATTATCTTTATCAATTAAAATTGTTCCTTGATCGTGAAGCGAGCGAACATCACTCTTCCTCCCAACATCCGCTAGATTGTTTAATTAATTTCTGGGTCGTATACTTCAGATGGTCAAGAGGAATCAGCGAATGTCTTGGCGATGTGATTATGTATATAGCATGTTGAAATTTACTATTATTGCTTACAGAGTCCTCGAGAATGGAGTATTGATAGGGCAAAGTACCCAGGCTGATAAGGAGGAATTCGAGAACCATAGGCGATTAAATATAAATCATCTGACAGTTGGTAAATTGTCAACTGAAGTGAAGGACGAGCCGCAAGTGATATCGAAGGAGCCTTTTAATTTAATGCGTCAAGAAGCGCAAGAAGTGTGTCGTAAGAACGTCAAACAGAATACAATTAACGTACAGAAGGAAGGCCGCAAGAGAAAACGAAAAGAATGCGAGAAGTACGAATGTTCTATATGTCAGTTGCATTTCGCTCAGCGAGGATATTACAAACGGCACATGGTAAAGCACAGCGACGTACGTCCGTTCAAGTGCACGATATGCGAGAAAGCTTTCAAGCGCTCGTCGGAGATGACCAGTCACATGCAGATTCATAGCGACGTCACATATGCCTGCGAAACTTGTAACTTCACTACGAGAAATAAGGTCTCATTGAGGACCCACATTCGACGGGTTCATCAGCGCGACTTTCCATACCGTTGCGGGCAGTGTGGCAAGGGATTCATGTCGAATTACGACTTGGAGGATCACACGGCGAGCCACCTAGATAGCAAGAGTTTTGTCTGCGAGTATTGCGGAAATATGTACTCGCAGAAATCATATTTGATCGCACACATGCGCGCGATTCACGCGATTCAGAAGAGCGAGCCGAAAAAATATCAGTGCGATCTTTGCAGCAAGAGCTTCGCCTCGGAGCACAATCTTCGTAATCATGCAAGTCTGCATTCGCAGAAGTTCCTGTGCGCCCAGTGCGGTAAAGAATTTGCGACGAATCACGCGTTAGAGTTACATAACCGTAAGCACACCGGTGAACGGCCTTACCAGTGCAAATTGTGTTCGAAAGCTTTTGCGAGATCCGTGGCTCTCAGGGTGCACAAGCTCACTCACACAGGCGAGAGACCGTACGTATGCGATATCTGCGGAAAAAATTTCACGCAACGCAGCAGCATGATGGCACATCGTCGCAAACATCCTGGTGATCATCCACCGCCGCCACCGTTGCTGCTCAGTCGACTTGAATTACGTACCCAAGAGTTAGAGCATTAGCTACTGGGTACGATCTGCTTACAAATCCGTTAGAATAATAACTGCTAAAATAATTTATCTTGAATATGTAAACGCTGCGCTGCTATTGAAAGAATAATATGTTAATAATTAAAATATTATTAATTAAATATTATTAAATGAAAGGAAGTTAATTTCATAATTTTGTTTCTATCCTAAAATGAATATTGAATATTTGGTCATTTAATTTTTTTTTATTTAATTTCTGGAAAAATTGTAAAATTATATAATAATATCAAACATATTATCAAATGACCTTATTAGAGTTCTTCTATTGAAACATTACTAGTGATTACTGAAGATTTTTACACAAATATGATGGACGTTGTACGTTTCGTATTTGTACTGATTGAAATTAATGGATGTTTCAGGAGACGCTGGACCACTGTACAGGACGGTGATGTAATTCGGAAAGTGATTGTGCATAATGGCATAATTGAGATTACTTCTAAAAAAAGTGTGAAAGACTCGACAAAAGAAGACAAAAAGGAAAAAGAACAAAAACAAATGAAGAAAAATAGCAGAGAAGAAAATATTTGTGTAGAGAAAGAAACAGACAAACATTTATTAAATAAAGAAGAAATTAAATCTCGAGAAGTGATGCCACCTGAAAACACTACACAAAAGGAAGAAAAAGAAGACGTAGATCAAATATTGGATAAGGTGCGAAACGCATGTCCATTTTGCTTAAAGCACTTTGATGACGAGAAGTATCTCAAGAGACATATTGTAGCAAGTCATCAAAAAAGAGCATATAAATGTGATAAATGTCGTGCATCTTGTCAAACCGAACAGGGTTTGGAGAATCATCGTAGGAGTCACAGTGACGATTATTTCTTCGAATGTAACATATGTCACTTAAAGTATAAACGCCCGATAACGTTGCAGCAACACCAAATACGAGCGCATAGTGACATTGCTGCTCAGTTTATTTGTGATTCTTGCGGCCAATCGTTCAAGGTGAAAGTGGACCTTCATGTG